TTCTAGGGATGGCGGCATCTCTGGAGAACTGTGTCCGATTAAATGGCAGTCGACTGGACTTTATATGGGCACTTAACAGAAAATGAAATTAATGAAATGAGATTAATAAGCCAATTAGTTAATGAGAATTAATGAATGAAAATGACCAATTGATGAAAGTAAGCATCAACCGGCTTTGCAAGGCAGCAACGAGATAACTGTCAGTAGCAGAGGGATGACAGGTCACTTTATGTTCGCAACGCTAAATTCAGTTAACCCTACCGGTTGATCTGTGAAGCAGTCATGCTTATTTAAGATAGTCATGATAGCTATCAGGAAGCAATCACTTAGTATCAACAGATGGTGATTTCATGGTGTTTGGCAACTTAATAGTGCGGGATGAATTATTCACCATACCTACTAGCCCAGGCTGACAGGCCCAGTGGTCTAGGGGTATGATACTCGCTTCGGGTGCGAGTGGTCCCGGGTTCGAATCCCGGCTGGGCCCCGCGCGTCGGTGTTTTGCTGGGTTTGATCGACCAAACAGTTAGTTGGAAAGTGACCTATCTTACTTTACGTTTTCGGTCATTCGTCATCAGGCCGAATGTATAACGTCTCTATGACGTTGTTGTCATGGCGAGGCGAAAAAATAATTACAAGTTCAGTTGAGGTCAAACACATCATCGATAAATATGGAGATAAACATTTTGATACAGTTACGTCACAGTTATGACGCCACTCGAACCGTTACAGTTTGATCGGTCACGGTGTGGCTGGTGGGCGATGACAACCGCAAAACTGTAGCAGGGCGCTCCGCCTCACGGTTTCTGACTGATCGCCCTTGATTCGGTAAAACGGACAGAAACACAGACACCGGTGCAACCCAGAAGCATACGCATCAAAATTGCTGGACGTTCTGTTGGCAAAAGTCGACGGGCCCAGCCGGGATTCGAACCCGGGACCACTCGCACCCAAAGCGAGTATCATACCCCTAGACCACTGGGCCACAGCTAGCTGCCGCATTCTCGGTTACTTGGCTTTGACTTTTGCAGTCCTTCGTACTTCTATTCCATCGTCGTGTTTATTTGGAAATTGTCAGGATGCGCCCTCAGACCTTTTGAGTATGGTAGTAGATGGTTAGGCCAAACCGATCTACCATTACGTCACATATGGTTATGTGCACCGGAGGACCGTGACAGCTATCCTCTTGGCGCCACGTGCAAGCCCACTAGCACTGATTGGTCGCGTGATCCTTCGGTCCCTCTACCCTATCATACCAACCATGTTGCACTTCAGCAGCTGACTTAATACCCGGACCGGCGCCGTGGCTGACAGCGGCACAACAGGAGCCTTCAGTCAGAGAATAAACTCGGTGTGTCGGCGCACTGTAACTGTCATCCTCTCGGCAGACAGAGACTGATACTCGTATGTATTTCGTGTTGGTGATGTGTGTACACTTATGTGCTATCCCTGCGAAACAAGCTGTCATGGCCAATGGAATTTGCTCGAAGTTATCCACGATCGTCAGCATTACTGAGACGTGGCTAACCCTCTAAGTTTCCTATCAAGAAGTGGACATCTTAGGTTATTACATCTTACGCACGGACTAAGTAATCGGAAGAGGAGGAGTGGCGATCTGTGTTTCGGATGTCATTAAGGCCTCAGTGATGCAAGACCCTTATCTGCTGGCGCTGTTTGACTGGCTACCTCGTTCAGTTACTCTGACCATTGGCGTAGTGTATAAGCCACCTTGCGCGCCAATAGTATGGTCCCAGACCCTATACAGAGCTATCTGTCGGGCTGTTGTAATCAAAACAGTCGGATGTTCACAATCGGGGATTTCGATCTTCCAAACGCTAACTACGTAAGCGGGGTGACTTCTGGCGACACACATGAAGGTTGTTGAGATCTGGGCGCTAACGATCACGGAGTTATCCATTTCAGGCTGATCTGTGATGGTGTGGTTAATCGGCATCCTAAACCGACTTGTCGAAACTTTCACCGAGCTGACTTTCACATGATCCGAAAGCGTTCCACGGAGACGTTATGACTTCCGACTGAAAGATTTGCTACTCCCGAAGAACACTGCAGCTATATCACTGACACATTAAATGAGGTGATCGTGGAGGTTGTATCTTTCTTTTCTCCAAAATGTAGTAAAAGTAAGTCATAATTGAAATCTCGCACTAAACGCCATATATAGGAGAAGAAAGCACTGTGAACTGGCCTTCTGTTATCTTGTATCTGGGACGCATATAGTGCCTACAGAAACGCTCGAAATCGGTGTATAACAGTGGTAAGAGTTGACCGTCGTGATCATCAACTCAATCTATCAGAAGCCATCGTTAACTGTCCCAGGCGGCTCTATGGATACGTTGCGTCCTTTACAAAATCTTGATCAGCTGCATCGTCATTAGTGGGTCGTCTTGTGTGTCGGCTAGACATCAGGAGACTGCCGAGGTCCTCCGCTCCCAATAACTAACCGCCTTTTGTGACCCAGACAGCGCGGTACAACCAGGAAGCCTTAGTCACGCCACCACAGTCAAAATCTTCCTTGATTTCTTGGAGTCTACTGTCAGAGCTAAGTTTCTCAGGCTGAGACCTGATAAGCCACCAAGCCTCGATAGCCTACCGCTCATCCTATTTAGGGGGTGTGCTGCGGCATTAACTGCTCCATTTTCGGCGTTGTTTCGACACTCATACATCTCAGTTACCCTTCCCAATACTTGGAAACATGATGTTATCTCGCCTGTCTACAAAGGCGGCGACAGAACCGATACAGACAACAATCTCCAAGTAGCAGTGCTTCAATGTGACTCCCAGGTAACGGAAAGCATAGTAGACGGTAGCATAAGGGCGCAGCCCCAACCCACTAAACTCCTAACAAACCATCAGCACGGATTTCGACAACGTTATTCCTACACTGCTAACTTGTTGATGGCAGTAGACTCTTGGCCTACGGCTGCAGAAGAGCGCCATCCAGTAGATGTTGCTTTCCTAGACATTTCCAAGGCTTTTGATAGAGTAGGCAACCACATTCTACTTAGTTACCAGTTATAGGTCTCGACAGCCAGCGGTATAAGTGGATCTAGCACTACTTATCAGGAAGGATATACTCTGTGCGTGTCAACGGCGCGCTGCCTGCCGTCTTCGAGGCTCTCAAGAGTGTCCCACAAGGATCCATACTACGCCCTTTGTTGTTCCTGTCATTTTTGAACGACTTACCGGCTGTTAGTAAATCCCCTGCTCATGTATACGGACGATACTAAAGTGTAGCATGCTCTACATTCTCCCGAAGACTCTGCTCTCCTGCAGCGGGATCTCGACGCAGTTTATCGGTGGTCGGTAGAAAACAGTATCCCGTCCAGCATTAGTAAGTCGAAAATCATGCATATACAGCACGAGAGCAGAATAATCTGCTGGTTGAGCGAGAAACCGCTTACTGTTGTTCTCCATGAAAAAGACCTTAGGATTCTGTTTTCGGCAAATCTCTGTCCTAGCGCCAATTCACTGGCATTGATAAAAGAATTTAATAGAAGGTTGGCAATGCATAGTAGACTGCTAGGGAAATTTCCAGCAGAATATTTTGCGCACATCTTTGGTTCTCTACTAAGACCTGTGTTAGAGGTAAACATACAGGCGTGCGCTCCATACATGGAAGAAGACATAATCACCTTTGAATCTGTTCAACGATGTTCGACGAAAAAGTTTATAGGTTTCTATCCGTTCTCATATGCACACTAACTCGAACTCCTGAACCTGTTACCACTTACTTACAGACGGCCGAGAGGAAACAGGATCCTCACCCCTGAAATCATGACCACAAAGGATGGCTCCAGTTGAAACCTTTTCAAGCTGGCGGAGACCACCGACTTAAGAGAACAAGTTTGAGCTAGACACAACGTGTGGTCGCTTACTTTTCAGGCAACACAGTTTTGCTATTCGTGTCTGTTCGACTTGGAACGCCCTTCTAGCAGAAATCGTGGGGCCTCTGTTCTGAAGACGTTCAAGAAGCGTCTTAATGACTGGCTCTTACTAAAATGGCTACTGCGGGTGGCGTACTCCCATTAGAACGTTCAGCTGTTTACACACATATATATATATATATATATCATATGTATCATTCCTAGGATGTATGTGTACGTTACCGACCAGATTGTCTTTGTATGCGCGCTTTTCACCTGATGCTGTCCCATCAAGTCCAGTCAATTTGCACCAACCACCCACTGATGTTACACTCACTCAGGATAATTTTCCTTTCTTATTATTGTTAACACTTATTTATCTTGTTCCCGTTATTGCTATTGTTGTCCTTTCTCCCCGACCCCATCGAAGATGGATGGGGACTTATGTCCACACTACCCTACCAAACAATAACGTGGTGCTTCCTAGGTACGGCTCCCGAATTCTGTTTACCATGTTCAACACGCACACACGTAACACACATTCATCCTTTCAGCGGCTGACGTGAGCAAAGAGGGCGAGTGACCACCTAACACCCGGTCGGAAACTGAAGTTACCAGAAGATCGTAAACTGTCGGAAAACACACACCCATGCCGAAACAGCTTGAGGCGCAGCATCTTCACAAGTACTAGACTTTCTTTCTTGCAAGAAACCCGTGAACCAGTATGTAATTCAATATTTGGATTAGTTTTTATGCACACCGCACGTCTGCTGTTCTGTACAAAATATGCACAACTTGTTTAGGTGAATTCGAACCAACAGCACACTTTCTCGCGCGAACACCTCAAATTCTTAATGCTTGCGTTTAACGTGACTGATGGTTAACTTCAGTTTGATCGGACATTTTAGTCAGATTTCAACCGGAAACACTGGAAGCTACGTATCAAAGGAAACACTCTCGGGATTGATCGTACTGAACTACTACGTGACTTTACTGTAGGTTGACTATCTCTTATGTTTGTACTTTTATGTTGGAGCAGCCCACCACGACTGCCAGACCTACCCACCGCAGTGGCAACTCAGACTTTGTTTCAGTAGCTGTGATTCAGACAAGACAGGGAAGTGGTCTAGGGGTATGATACTCGCTTCGGGTGAGGGTGGTCCCGGGTTCGAATCCCGGCTGGGTCCCCCGTGTCAATGTTTCACTGGGTTTGATCAGCCGGATGGAACGTAAGTTAGAAAATGATGGGTGAGTGAAAACGGCCCCTCCGACTTCGACACTTGAGCAGCACGTTCGTCAGAATCACTCCGGGGTATCATAACCCTAGACCATTGGGCCACCCACATCACCCTGATGCCCCTTTATAATGAATTGTTTGTTGTACACATAGCAGACACGATATACGTCTCCCGTATAGGTGGATATTCACTCAACGGTGAGGCAATGGCTCACTCGGTTGTGATTTCTGAGTCGTGAACAACCCAGCTACGTGTGTATATAACCTCGGGAACCTCTCCCGGTTAATATTGACCATTGAGGTTTGAGATAGTCATTGGTGCAAAGACGCAACTAACATCCGCACATATAATTCAGAAATCGTCTTTTTTGGTTTGTGGTGCAGAGCGAATCAACCGATTCTTCTTACCACAATCGGAATTTCGGAAACATGAATATCCTCACTTTCATCGGAGTTTTCCTTGTCAAGTTCGTCGTCTTCCTCTGTTCGGCGTTGGTCTGAACTAATAACGTCGGGTGAAATGCTAGCATCCATAATGAATAGGAAGTGTGTTTGTCAACCTTTTTAGGATGAGAGTCCATATGCTATTTCAATGCACGGTGCACCCTGTGGTTATTAGCAGGCGTGCGCGAAAGCAGACGACATAAAAAGCCTTTGAGAGTGGAGACCAAGTATTTATTGAGCGCAACGTACGTATTACAGTATTATTCTGTGGGCGACGCAGATATGGAGGCTGGCTATAAATATTACTGGCCGGCTGTCGACTGGCGATTTAACGGGTGGTTTATGTACATTGATTCGCGCCACATATAAGCATGACGGCGCACAGCACGAGAAGTGCCTTGATATTCTAACTACAACATACAACAACGATATTTTTGTCTCTTTTACGCGTCAAATCACGTGTGAATTACTGATATTACTGATATTTCTATGCTCAACAGTGATGTTGGTGGATTCCGGTGCGAACTAGTTGAAAAATCCTGCCGGGGAGTCGATCCCCTGGATCATTCGGTGGATTCTATATGAGACAGTGGGTAGAGTGGCTATCCGAGTCTGAGTGTGAAATTTCTGAGCTGTTGACGTGGCTTTGTAGCTCAGCTGGCAGAGCGCTTACTGCGTTGAGGCGTGGTGTTTCTCCCGCTTGTTCGAATCCAGCCGAAGCCGTGACTTTTCACACTTGGGCCCCATTGAAAAAATACTGATATCTTCAGGTTACTACACCATCCTAGTAGATAGATGGGGCAAATAACTAACAATAATGTTCACTTTGTTAAAAACTCCAAGCCCATACAATCACAACCGAAAGGAGTTTGTGTTATGCTCGATGCCGTTTATAATAAGGGATTCTCGCAGTATTAGGTAGCAAGCTGGCTTAGGTTAGATACAGCACGTCATCTGTAGGTTATCACCAGTCAGCTAAACGCAGTCTACTGTTTACCTAACTTCTTTTCGAAAAGAGTCACTCGCCGGTGTGAAAACCGCCAAACAACGATGATATGGTTTCGCGCGAACTGTAAACTACATATAAATTTCAGAGTCAAGCGAGGCTTTTCTATAAGCTTCAGTTCACGAGGAAATTTCATCAGTTCGCGGTATACGGATGAGTTCCGTCCGAGTATCTTTTGCGATAGTGTCCGCCTTAACGTTTAACAGAATATCAAACAGTCTGAACTAACTAGAATGAAACAATGGCAACGAACAAGGGGCACAACACGGTTAGCAAACCAAGTAATTCAAATATTTTTGCCTCCTCCTGTTGCCGTACGTACCTGTATAATGATTGTCTCATCAAGCGAGAAGTGTTCGATTGTGTGTGTTTACTTGACCTTTTCTGCTACCTTGGCGTGGTGGTCAGGCTTGT